TGCTCTTACCAGTGCAGTTTGCAAAGTAATGGAACGCCTAGTAAATAGACGTTTAGTGTGGTATTTAGAGACACACAACAGTTCCTCTCCACTCGTCAATATGGCTTTCGTAAGGGACGTTCTACCATAGACCCCTTACTACGCTTGGATACGTATGTTCGTAATGCCTTTGCGGATAACCACTCAGTTATTGCCATATTTTTTGACCTTGAGAAGGCATATGACACAACTTGGAGGTATAATATTTTAGCCCAAGCCCACTCCTTAGGCCTTCGAGGCAATCTACCATCCTTCCTTAAGAACTTTTTAACTGACAGGCATTTCCGTGTTCGGGGTTAATAATGTGCTCTCCCCGGACTTTATCCAAGCTGAAGGTGTCCCCCAGGGATGTGTTCTGAGCACAACACTTTTTCTCCTTGCTATTAATGATTTGGCCTCTAGTCTTCCATCAAATATTTGGTCATCCTCTATGTTGATGACTTCGCTTTTGCCTGTGCAGGCGCTGACTGTCACCTCATTACAGTTTCTCTCCAACATGCAGTCGACCGTGTTTCCAATTGGGCCACCACACGTGGGTTTAAATTTTCCAGCACTAAAACCCACCAAATCACTTTCACTAGATGCTCTGTCATCTCCGATCATCCTTTGTACCTCTATGGCTCCCGTATCCCTGAACGTGATAGTCAAGTTTCTGGGCCTCCTCTTTGATCGTAGGTTTCCTGGAAACCTCACATTACCTCTCTGAAGGCAACTGTCACAGCCGGCTGAACCTTCTTAAAACCCTTGCTCATCTTTCATGGGGAGCTGATCGTCGAACCCTCCTTCGCCTACATTCCACCCTTATTTATCGAAACTTGATTATGGTGACCAGATCTATTCAGCGGCATCTCCTGCTACTCTCTCTAGCCTTAACCCCATCATCACCAAGGATTACGTTTATGCCTTGGTGCTTTTCGCTCTTCCCCTGTCGAGAGCCTCTATACAGAAGCGAACGTTCCATCCTTATCCGATCGCCGTGATGCCCATTGCCTGCGCTACTATGTACGCTCTCATGATCTCCGCAATCCTTCCATTTATAGAATGGTCACTGATATTAGTAGACATTCTTTATTTGTTCGCCGCCCCTGTTTTACTCCGTCCCTTCTCTCTTCGCCTTCATTCGCTCTTGTCTTCTCTTCAACTACCACCTTTCTATGTACATGTAGCATCTCACTTTTCCCTACCCCCCTGGGAAGTTCCAGCTGTTCGAGTCTGTTCTTTCTCCCTCCCTTGCTCGAAAGCCCAACTCTCTACGGTCGCTTCCCGCTCTTTTTCTTGACCACTTTCACTCTCATTCTCATGCCATTGCTGTGTACACAGATGGCTCTAAGTCTTCTGACGGCGTAGGATTCGCAGCAGTGTTTCCGGACAGCGTCATACAAGGGCATTTACTATCTTCGGCTAGTATTTTTACTGCTGAATTATATGCCATCCTTACAGCACTTATCCGTATTGCATCTATGCCTGTGTCATCATTTGTGGTTGTCTCAGACTCCCTTAGTGCTTTACAGCTATACAAAAATTTGATACACCTCACCCCTTAGTCCTCCGTATCCAACTTTGGCTATGCCGCATCTTTACCAAGCATAAAGATATTGTTTTTTGTTGGGTCCCTGGTCATGTTGACGTACAGGGCAATGAACAGGCAGACACTGCTGCGCGGTCAGCAGTACATGACCTACCAGTTTCTTATAGAGGTATTCCATTTACGGACTATTTTACTGCAATATCTTCCCACCTTCACACCCGTTGGCAACAACGTTGGTCTACTATGCTCGGCAACAAACTTCAATCTATTAAACCGAGTATAGGTTACTGGCCGTCTTCTTATCACCAGTGTCGAGGTTGGGAGACTACTCTCTCCCGTCTTCGCATTGGCCATACTCGTCTTACTCATGGATATCTCATGGAGAGGCGTCTTGCTCCTCTCTGTGAGAATTGCCAAGCTCCATTATCAGTCAGCCACATTCTGTTGGACTGCCCACTTTATCAACGAGCACGCAGAATTTACCTCTGTCGTCGTCTTCGCTCCGCTGCTCTCTCTTTACCTTCCCTTCTCGCTGATGGACCCACCTTTCATCCAGACTCCTCATTGACTTTTTGACAACAACTGACTTACTTCACAAATTCTGATACCTTCAGCCCTTTCTACTTCAATCTCTTGCTACCCTCTACCCCCGTACTATCCCCTGCTCCGCTGTTTTCTGTAACCTGCTGATCATCCCCCCTCCCTTCTGCCATCCAATTCCCTTGCTTCCTTCCCTACCCTGCAGCGCTGTATAGCCCTTGTGGCTTAGCGCTTCTTTTTGATTATAATAATAATAATCTTCCTCATATACATCAATGATCTTCTAAACATATCTCAACACCTGAACCCCATTCTCTTTGCTGACGACACGACTTACGTCATCTCTCACCCTAATCTTGCCACCCTCAACACCATTGTTAATGAGGAGCTGATCAAAATATCGACTTGGATGACAGCCAATAAACTTAAGCTTAACACTGACAAAACCTACTACATTATGTTTGGTAGCAGAGCAGGAGATGCGCAAATTAACATTAAGATTGACAACACTCTAATTGCCAGGCATAATGAGGGCAAATTCTTAGGCCTATACCTCGACAACAACCTGAACTTCAGCACCCATATCCAACATATAACCAAAAAAGTATCCAAAACGGCTGGGATCCTCTCCAAGATACGATACTACGTGCCGCAAACTGCCCTTCTCACACTATACCATTCACTTACATATCCATAGCTCACCTATGCTATCTGTGCTTGGGGTTCAACTGCAGCAACACACCTAAAGCCAATAATAACCCAACAAAAAGCCGCAGTAAGAATAATCACTAAATCCCATCCCTGGCAACACCCCCCCCCCCCCACTCTTCATAGATCTAAACTTACTCCCTGTTCAGTACATCCACACTTACTACTGTGCAATCTACATCTACAGGACCTTAAATTCCAATATTAACCTTGACCTAAAACGCTTTCTTGATAGTTGCGACAGAACCCACAGGCACAACACCAGACACAAACATCTCTATGACATTCCCCGTGTCAGACTAAACCTTTACAAAAATTCAATGTATGTCAAAGGCCCTAAAATCTGGAACACCCTACCTGAAAATTCTAAAACTGCAGACACATTCATCACCTTCAAAACTACCATCAGAAAACATCTTATCTCCCTGATACACCCTGTCAACTAATTACACGAATACCACCTGGTGGTTAACACTTACACTCGCTCACCCATTTGACCATAAACAGAAATGTCAATCTCAATCTCAAAATAATGAATCTTAACTAGTCATAAGTTGGCCTGTGATACTCCAGTACTGAAACTATGTATAGTGCCAAAACAAAAGCATTCACATTGCTAAACTCACAAACTAGTATTTAGTCACTTAGCCATAATACCAACTTACCTCATAATTTTGTAATATTTTAAACTTAAGATTTAATTTAAGTCTGCCCGAAATGCCTAGCCATGCTAGGTGTTCTAGTGGTACACTCTGTAATTATTATTTTACTACATGTAAACCACACAATAACCAAATTCTGTAAACTCAGCATTGTAATCCTTATAGAGAATAAACTTTGAATTTGAATTTGAATTCCTGCCAATCCCAGATGTGGTCTGATGGTGGGTACTGGATATTGACAGGTGGTTGTGGTTGTGCAGGTTGTGGGGGTGGTTGAGGCTAGTTGTGGCTGTGCTGAGCTAGCAGTGTGGATAGCAGCATGGCCCGCTGCTAGTGCCACATGACTTGTGCCACCGCCAGCACCACAACCAAAACCTGCTGCCACATGAACCTTATGCATCCCCATTGTAACAATATCATCATCTTCACTATCAGTTTGTGATGTAGGACCACGGGATGTACCCCGAGATTTACTCCTTTTCCTTGGAATGGCATATGGCACACTACCAGAATGCATGCTGCATCGTACATACTGCCACTTCACTGGAGAATATTTCCCCCTCACTGTCACAACTCAAACTGCTTTCAATAGATTGGAAATCACTATCACTTTCACTGCTCACATCCGAGTCCTGTACACAGGGAAATAGTTTCCTCTTTCATCCTGGTACAGGTGAACGTGAATGAGATGGCCCAGCACCAGAAATGAAAAGTTGTGGATCGTTGGGTTTTCATCACTAACTACATTATCCTGGGCACTGCTTATGGTCACACCCTCCTGAAAACCCTGAAATTCACTTTCAGTGGCACTTCAATCACTGTTAGAACTATCACTTGGGAACAGAAGACCTCCAATTCGATGAGGAGTAAGGTACTTCTCACCACGAGGCATCATGAACAAGGACTACTAAAATGGCGTTCCCACAATGCACCACTAAATCGCCGATTTTTTCATACTGCACACACCCATCACGCATACCCATTCTCTAACATGTAGGCCTACCAGGATTCCCCTGCTTGATTTGAAGCTGCTAGAATTTACGCATATTAATACGTCAAAAACATTAGCTCGCAAGACGTACAGTGGACCCCCGGTTAACGATACTTTTTCACTCCAGAAGTATGTTCAGGTGCCAGTACTGACCGAATTTTTTCCCATAAGAAATATTGTGAAGTAGATTAGTCCATTTCAGAACCCCAAACATACACGTACAAATGCACTTACATAAATACACTTACATAATTGGTCGCATTCGGAGGTAATCGTTATGCGGGGGTCCACTGTATATACATATACAACCGAAACAGTCAAAGGGCAAAGAACAGTACAACCTGTGAAGAATTTGTTTTCAGATAATAATTTCCCTTCGGATATTTAGCAACAGAAGTTGGTCAACTGAAGACTCGGATTTTATACATTTTTCTAATTTTTTTTCCATGCACCATAACACAGTCTGTGGTTGGTACTATTTTTAAGCTCATGTAATCTATGATATAATTTTTGTTCTATTTTGTTTCAATAGAATATCCTGACACAGAAGCCAAAGATGTAAGTGTAGGTAGATTGCTAAATAGGCAACTTGGGAAGCAAAATAATGCTTGCCTACTTTTGCTCCAGATAAACCAGTCTTGCCATAAGTCTTCACATTACTCAAGCCATGGTAATTGCAGAGGTGCCTAAGCCAACCATCTCTTGCCAGAAATTCTGCATTCATATGCTTTGCTAGCTTTTTAGCAGCAGAGCGAACATTAACCTCAAACAACTATTATTGGACGTACCTGTTATACATTGCTTTTTCAAGCTTTTTATCATGGGCTGTTTTCATTTGCTTTCAAGTTTCTAGGAGAAACTGTTGAACATTGACTGTTGAGCATTGACTGTAAGTTTGACTTTGCTACTGCAGATATCAGACACTTTGCTACACCATATCCCTCACATACGTTTGCCACTGAGATGCCAGACTCTACCTTCTTTATTAATTCGAAGTTTTGTATAAAACTCAGGTTTACACATTTCTGGCACTAAAACTTTCTGTAGAGGTCATTGTTAATTGCATTTTACTTATTTTTTTTTTTTTTCAACAAGTCGGCCGTCTCCCACCGAGGCAGGGTGACCCAAAAAAGAAAAAATCCCCAAAAAGAAAATGCTTTCATCATCATTCAACACTTTCACCACACTCACACATAATCACTGTTTTTGCAGAGGTGCTCAGAATACAACAGTTTAGAAGCATACACGTATAAAGATACACAACATATCCCTCCAAACTGCCAATATCCCAAACCCCTCCTTTAAAGTGCAGGCATTGTACTTCCCATTTCCAGGACTCAAGTCCGACTATATGAAAATAACCGGTTTCCCTGAATTCCTTCACTAAATATTACCCTGCTCACACTCCAACAGATCGTCAGGTCCCAAGTATCATTCGTCTCCATTCACTCCTATCTAACACGCTCACGCACGCTTGCTGGAAGTCCAAGCCCCTTGCCCACAAAACCTCCTTTACCCCCTCTCTCCAACCCTTTCGAGGACGACCCCTACCTCGCCTTCCTTCCCCTATAGATTTATATGCTTTCCATGTCATTCTACTTCGATCCATTCTCTCTAAATGACCAAACCACCTCAACAACCCCTCTTCAGCCCTCTGACTAATACTTTTATTAACTCCACACCTTTTCCTAATTTCCACACTCCGAATTTTCTGCATAATATTTACACCACACATTGCCCTTAGGACATCTCCACTGCCTCCAACCGTCTCCTTGCTGCTGCATTTACTTAATATGTTAATAAAATCACAAAACACTAAATCCAGGGAAAGATTGAGACAAAATCACAGGTCCTTTACTGGGCAAATGCCAAAATCATTGGGCTTGGCCCTCTGGTTTCAGAAACTACCTGACACACCAGTGTGATGAAATCCAAGATCACTGTCTTCAGAAACTTTATATGTTGTCAGGCAAATATTTTGTCTTTAACTTCTGAAATCCATTAAATCATGTTATTTAAGTCGAGGATAATGCTGATCTTCAAAATTGTTATATACCTTATTGTATTCACTATTAAATAATTTGTCATCTTTAAAACTCAGATGACACAATAACACACATCTAAACTGTGTATGCAAATACTGTAGCTTTATACTGTACATACATCTTTCTTTCTTTCAACACACCAGCCGTATCCCACCGAGGTGGGGTGGCCCAAAAGGAAAAACAAAAGTTTCTCCTTTCATATTTAGTAATATATACAGGAGAAGGGGTTACTAGCCCCTTGCTCCTGGCATTTTAGTCGCCTCTTACAACACGCATAGCTTACGGAGGAAGAATTCTGTTCCACTTCCCCATGGAGATAAGAGGAAATAAACAAGAACAAGAGTTAGTAAGAAAATAGAAGAAAACCCAGAGGGGTGTGTATACATATGCCTGTACATGTATGTGTAGTGTGACCTAAGTGTAAGCAGAAGTAGCAAGACGTACCTGAAACCTTGCATGTTTATGAGACAGAAAAAACACCAGCAATCCTACCATCGTGTAAAACAATTACAGGCTTACATTTTACACTCACTTGGCAGGACGGTAGTACCTCCCTGGGCGGTTGCTGTCTACCAACCTACTACCTAAACTGTACATACATATCTTTTCAAAAGAGGTGTCTTGATGCTGGCGAGGGATTTGCAACTCTAGGAATTGGACCTGTACTCCATTTCCTTGGATCGAATCTAATTGCCTCCCTTTCCCAAGGTGCTATATGACCCCTATGGGTTTAGCACTCATTCATGAATTTAAAATAATAATGTACTGTACCTATATATGTGTTGTCATAAAAAAAAAAAAGATTCTACTTGTTACAAAAGTTGTGTATATATTTGCATGTTTTTTTTTATATAAATTTGTTGCTAATGCTTTTTTCAGAGGACTTTTCATGGTCTGCTGCCCTGAACAACTACTATCAGCATATTGAAGCTGAGTTGCCCGAGAGGCAAAGAGTGACTCGTATAGCTACTCAGGGAAAACAGAATACAAGGCAGTATGTGACTGAGTTTATGATTCAGTACTCTGATGATGGGGATGTGTGGAGGATGTACAGGGGGCCCGACGGAGTTGCTAAGGTAGTGATGTTAATGGCACTTTTATGTGGCTGCCATTAATAAAAGCTTCAGTAATCTGCTACCCAGTTGCTCAGTGTTGGTGTCTCTTCACCTTTTCACGTTATTTATTTTGCTCGACTATATGATTGCTTTTTTAAGTTGCTTCTCGTTTCTTTAGGTTTGTAGTTTTCTTCGCACTATTGTTTCTCCTCAGTGATGCAACAGTGAGAATGTCTTTTAGTTGGTCATTGAGTTTCCTGAGGTTCTCTGTAAATATTGCATTCTGTTCGGCACTCTTACAAAACGAAGAATGCTTTTTAAAATATTGTTCGCCATTTCTTTAGGGTAATTGTGTTAATTTCTCTATTATTTTGGCATTTTCACATACAGCACTTGAATGTTATTCGATCTATTGTATTTGTTTTTCGTATTTCACATAAGTGCATCGTATTTTATAAAGTAGCTATTACTGTTGTAGATATTTCTTTGATAAATAAACTTTTGTTCTGTCAATGAAATATTAGTTTAGTTTAATATGTTGTGTGCTGTTAGGTATGTACTGTTACAGTGTCTTTGAATTAGCAGAATGATGTATTGAATAATTTATTTTAAAGGCACAGATATTGTTGTATGACAATTTATATTTTAAGTGATCCATTTTTCTCAACCTTTTGTACTGTGTTTAAATTCATCTGTATATATTGAGTTCTGAAGTGAGAGGCCTTAAGTCTTAATATGAACTGTATGATGCATTTCTTGAATATTTTCTTTTAATTAAAGTTTTGTCGAGATGTTACAGTTCTGAGGCTTGTTTGAATTGTGATGTCTGCACTTTTGGCAAGGCATCTATTGAGTGAACGATGGTGAATGGTTCCTTTTTTTAAATCAGTGTACCTTGTTAAGGAAATTGCTGATATGGTAAAGTACAATTAATTCACATAAATGAAGGGATTCATGGAATCTGGTTAGTCACACTTAGTCTTGGATTGGGAAGGGTTGGTGCCTACACTCTGAGGAGAGGTAAGGATGTTGCAGTCTGAGGATCACAAACGCAGGATGTGGCTATTAAAAAACAGAATAAAAATTATTTTCAACGGGCATATGTTATAGATTTTGAATTCCAGTTTATATTTGCACATAATTGTTTGATATACCTTTGATGAGTTTTGACAAAGCTGACTTTGTCTCTGTAGATAACTTCCTTTCTTCCTTTCTCATTTCATTATCAAATGCTTCAAACTTCAGAACACTTGCGACTTGGCCTGATCTTCATCTCCCCTTTTAACTCTTCTCCTTTCCTATATTTTCTTTGCCTTTCTTTTCTTCTTCCTGGGTGGGTTCTGCCCTACAAGTTTATCCCTGCTGCTGCAGGGGGGAGGAAACTTGTAGGGCTGCCACTGCCCCTCCTCTTCCACCACTCCTCTGCCCCTCCTCCTCTGCCCCCTTCTCCTCTGCCCCCTTCTCCTCTGCCCCCTTCTCCTCTGACCCCTTCTCCTCTGCCCCCTTCTCCTCTGCCCCCTTCTCCTCTCCTCTGCCCCCTTCTCCTCTGCCCCCTTCTCCTCTGCCCCCTTATCCTCCACCCCCTCCTCTTCCTGTACCCCTCCTCCTCTACCCTTCCTCCACTTCTCCCTCCTCTTCCTTCTCTAACTCTCCACTCTCTGACTCTTGTGTCACTACACTACCCCCTTTCCATTGCCACTTTTGACAGTTACATTACTTATACGTATTACTACTATTACCACTACCATAATACTACCTCATCTCATTCTATTCTTGGCCCTGCCGACTTGTTGAAATAAATAAATATATATTTTTTTTTTTTTTTCAACAAGTCGGCCATCTCCCACCGAGGCAGGGTGACCCAAAAAAGAAAGAAAATCCCCAAAAAGAAAATACTTTCATCATCATTCAACACTTTCACCACACTCGCACATTATCACTGTTTTTGCAGAGGTGCTCAGAATACAACAGTCTAGAAGCATACACATATAAAGATACACAACATATCCCTCCAAACTGCCAATATCCCAAACCCCTCCTTTAAAGTGCAGGCATTGTACTTCCCATTTCCAGGACTCAAGTCCGACTATATGAAAATAACCGGTTTCCCTGAATCCCTTCACTAAATATTACCCTGCTCACACTCCAACAGATCGTCAGGTCCCAAGTACCATTCGTCTCCATTCACTCCTATCTAACACGCTCACGCACGCTTGCTGGAAGTCCAAGCCCCTCGCCCACAAAACCTCCTTTACCCCCTCTCTCCAACCCTTTCGAGGACGACCCCTACCCCGCCTTCCTTCCCATATAGATTTATATGCTTTCCATGTCATTCTACTTTGATCCATTCTCTCTAAATGACCAAACCACCTCAACAACCCCTCTTCTGCCCTCTGACTAATACTTTTATTAACTCCACACCTTCTCCTAATTTCCACACTCCGAATTTTCTACATAATATTTACACCACACATTGCCCTTAAACAGGACATCGCCACTGCCTCCAACCGTCTCCTCGCTGCTGCATTTACCACCCAAGCTTCACACACCCATATAAGAGTGTTTGGTACTACTATACTTTCATACATTCCCTTCTTTGCCTCCATAGATAACGTTTTTTGACTCCACATATACCTCAACGCACCACTCACCTTTTTTCCCTCATCAATTCTATGATTAACCTCATCCTTCATAAATCCATCCGCTGACACTCAACTCCCAAGTATCTGAAAACATTCACTTCTTCCATACTCCTCCTCCCCAATTTGATATCCAATTTTTTCTTTATCTAAATCATTTGACACCCTCATCACCTTACTCTTTTCTATGTTCACTTTCAACTTTCTATCTTTACACACATTCCCAAACTCATCCACTAACCTTTGCAATTTTTCTTTAGAATCTCCCATAAGCACAGTAACATCAGCAAAAAGTAACTGTGTCAATTCCCATTTTGAATTTGATTCCCCATAATTTAATCCCACCCCTCTCCCAAACACCTTAGCATTTACTTCCTTTACAACCCCATCTATAAATAATTAAACAACCATGGTGACATTACACATCCCTGTCTAAGACCTACTTTTAACCGGGAAGTAGTCTCCCTCTCTCTACACACCCTAACCTGAGCCTCACTATCCTCATAAAAACTCTTTACAGCATTTAATAACTTACCACCTATTCCATATACTTGCAACATCTGCCACATTGCTCCTCTATCCACTCTATCATATGCCTTTTCTAAATCCATAAATGCAATAAAAACTTCCCTATCTTTATCTAAATACTGTTCACATATATGCTTCAATGTAAACACCTGATCTACACATCCCCTACCCACTCTAAAACCTCCTTGCTCATCCGCAATCCTACATTCTGTCTTACCTCTAATTCTTTCAATTATAACCCTACCGTACACTTTTCCTGGTATACTCAGTAAGCTTATTCCTCTATAATTTTACAGTCTCTTTTGTCCCCTTTCCCTTTATATAAAGGGACTATACATGCTCTCTGCCAATCCCTAGGTACCTTCCCCTCTTTCATACATTATTAAACAAAAGTACCAACCACTCCAACACTATATCCCCCCCTGCTTTTAACATTTCTGTCATGATCCCATCAGTTCCACTGCTTTACTCCCTTTCATTTTACGTAATGCCTCACGTACCTCCCCACACTTACATCTGCTCTTCTTCACTCCTAAAGATGGTATACCTCCCTGACCAGTGCATGAAATTACTGCCTCTGTTTCTTCCTTAACATTTAAAAGTTCCTCAAAATATTCTCGCCATCTACCCAATACCTCCATCTCCCCATCTACTAACTCCCCTACTCTGTTTTTAAAACTGACAAATCCATATTTTCCCTAGGCTTCTTAACTTGTTTAACTCACTCCAAAATTTTTTTCTTATTTTCATAAAATTTCTTGACAGTGCCTCTCCCACTGATATCATCTGCTCTCCTTTTGCACTCTCTCACCACTCTCTTTACCTTTCTTTTACTCATCCATAACTCTGCTCTTCTTATAACACTTCTGCTTTGTAAAAACCTCTCATAAGCTACCTTTTTCCTCTTTTATCACACCCTTTACTTCATCATTCCACCAATCACTCCTCTTTCCTCCTGCCCCCACCCTCCTATAACCACAAACTTCTGCCCCACATTCTAATACTGCATTTTTAAAACTATTCCAACCCTCTTCAACCCCCCCCCACTACTCATCTTTGCACTAGCCCACCTTTCTGCCAATAGTCGCTTATATCTCACCCGAACTTCCTCCTCCCTTAGTTTATACACTTTCACCTCCCTCTTACTTGTTGTTGCCACCTTCCTCTTTTCCCATCTACCTCTTACTCTAACTGTAGCTACAACTAAATAATGATCCGATAAAAATCATTTGCCCCTCTATAAACATGACATCCTCGAGCCTACCCATCATACCTTTTATCCACCAATACATAATCTAATAAACTACTTTCATTACGTGCTACATCAAAAACCTTGTATATTATTTATCCTCTTTTTCATAAAATATGTATTACTTATTACCAAATTTCTTTCTACACATAGCTCCAATTAAAGCTCCCATTTACATTTACCCCTGGCACCCCAAATTTACCTACTACTCCTTCCATAACATTTTTACCTACCACTTTAGCATTGAAATCCCCAACCACCATTACTCTCACACTTGATTCAAAACTCCCCACGCATTCACTCAACATTTCCCAAAATCCTCTCTCCTCCTCTACACTTCTCTCTTCTCCAGGTGCATACACACTTATTATAACCCACTTTTCACATCCAATCTTTATTTTAACTCCACATAATCCTTGAATTAATACATTTATTGTCCCTCTTTTCCTGCCATAGCTTATCCTTCAACATATTGCTACTCCTTCTTTAGCTCTAACTCTATTTGAAACCCCTGACCTAATCCCATTTATTCCTCTCCACTGAAACTCTCCCACCCCCTTCAGCTTTGTTCACTTAAAGCCAGGACATCCGCTTCTTCTCATTCATAACATCCACAACATCTCTTTCTTATCATCTGCACAACATCCACGCACATTCAGACTTCCCACTTTGACAATTTCTTCTTCTTATTCTTTTTAGTAATCTTTACAGGAAAAGGGTTACTAGCCCATTGTTCCCGGCATTTTAGTTGACTTTTACAACACGCATGGCTTACGGAGGAAAGATTCTTATTCCACTTCCCCATGGATATAAAAGGAAAATTAATAAGACCAAGAACTATTAAGATAAAATCAAAGAAAACTCAGATGAGTGTGTATAAAAAATGTGTACATGTATGTGTAGTGTGACCTAAGTGTAAGTAGAAGTAGCAAGACATGCCTGTAATCTTGCATATTTATGAGACAGACAAAAGACATCAGCAATCCTACCATCATGTAAAACAATCACAGGCTTCGTTTTACACTCAGTTGGCAGGACGGTAGTACCTCCCTGGGTGGTTGCTGTCTACCAACCTACTACCTATATATATATATCTTTCTTTCAACACACCGGCCGTATCCCACCGAGGCGGGGTGGCCCAAAAGGAAAAACGAAAGTTTCTCCTTTTACATTTAGTAATATATACAGGAGAAGGGGTTACTAGCTCCTTGCTCCCGGCATTTTAGTCGCCTCTTACAACACGCATGGCTTACGGAGGAAGAATTCTGTTCCACTTCCCCATGGAGGTAAGAGGAAATAAACAAGAACAAGAAATAGAAAGAAAATTGAAGAAAACCCAAAGGGGTGTGTATATATATGCTTGTACATGTATGTGTAGTGTGACCTAGTGTAAGTAGAAGTAGCAAGACATACCTGAAATCTGCATGTTCATGAGACAGAAAAATGGACACCAGCAATCCTACCATCATGTAAAACAATACAGGCTTTCGTTTTACACTCACTTGGCAGGACGGTAGTACCTCCCTGGTGTGTTGCTGTCTACCAACCTACTACCTCTATATATATATATATATATATATATATATATATATATATATATAATATATATATATATATATATATATATATTATATATATATATTATATAATATGTATATATATGTATATATATATATGTATATATATGTATATATATATATGTATAAAAATTAAAATATAATATGTATAAAATATGTTATATATATATATTTATATATATGTATATATATTAAATTATATATATGTATATATAAATATGATATAATATATGTATATATATATATAATTATATATATATGATATTTTATATGTATATATATGTAAAAATTTTGTATAAATATATATGTATATATATGTATATATTATTATGTATATATATGTATATATATATATGTTATAAAATGTATATATATATGTATATATATGTATATATATATATGTATATATATGTATATATATGTATATATATGTATATATATATATGTATATATATGTATATATATATATGTATATATATGTATATATATATATGTATATATATGTATATATATATATGTATATATATGTATATATATATATGTATATATATGTATATATATATATGTATATATATGTATATATATATTAATGTATATATATGTATATATATATATGTATATATATATATGTATATATTATGATATATTATATAGTATTTTAATATATATATTATATATAATATATGTATATATATATATGTATATATATATATGTATATATATATATATAAATTTTTTTTTTTTTTATTATTATTATTATCACACTGGTCGATCCCACCAAGGCAGGGTGGCCCGAAAAAGAAAAACTTTCACCATCATTCACTCCATCACTGTCTTGCCAGAAGGTGCTTTACACTACAGTTTTTAAACTGCAACATTAACACCCCTCCTTCAGAGTGCGGCACTGTACTTCCCATCTCCAGGACTCAAGTCCGGCCTGCCGGTTTCCCATGAACCCCTTCATAAATGTTACTTTGCTCACACTCCAACAGCACGTCAAGTATAAAAACCATTTGTCTCCATTCACTCCTATACAACACGCTCACGCATACCTGCTGGAAGTCCAAGCCCCTCGCACACAAAACCTCCTTTACCCCTCTCTCCAACCTTTCCTAGGCCGACCCCTACCCTGCCTTCCTTCCACTACAGACTGATACACTCTGAAGTCATTCTGTTTCGCTCCATTTTCTCTACATGTCCGAACCACCTCAACAACCCTTCCTCACCCTCTGGACAACAGTTTTTGGTAATCCCGCACCTCCTCCTAACTTCCAAACTACGAATTCTCTGCATTATATTCACACCACACATTGCCCTCAGACATGACATCTCCACTGCCACCAGCCTTCTCCTCGCTGCAACATTCATCACCCATGCTTCACACCCATATAAGAGCGTTGGTAAAACTAAACCTCATACATTCCCCTCTTGCCTCCAAGGACAAAGTTCTTTGTCTCCACAGACTCCTAAGTGCACCACTCACTTTTTTCCCTCATCAATTCTATGATTCACCTCATCTTTCATAGACCCATCCGCTGACACGTCCACTCCCAAATATCTGAATACATTCACCTCCTCCATACTCTCTCCCTCCAATCTGATACTCAATCTTTCATCACCTAATCTTTTTGTTATCCTCATAACCTTACTCTTTCCTGTATTCACCTTTAATTTTCTTCTTTTGCACACCCTACCAAATTCATCCACCAATCTCTGCAACTTCTCTTCAGAATCTCCCAAGAGCACAGTGTCATCAGCAAAGAGCAGCTGTGACAACTCCACTTTTAACTCCACGCCTCTTGTCAAGACCCTCGCATTTACTTCTCTTACAACCCCATCTATAAATATATTAAACAGCCACGGTGACAACACACATCCTTGTCTAAGGCCTACTTTTACTCTTTACTTTTACGCTTTCCTACATACTCTAACTTGAGCCTCACTATCCTCATAAAAAACTCTTCACTGCTTTCAGTAACCTACCTCCTATACCATACACCTGCAACATCTGCCACATTGCCCCCCTATTCACCCTGTCATATGCGTTTTCCAAATCCATAAATGCCACAAAAACCTCTTTAGCCTTATCTAAATACTGCTAAATATTTGGGAGTGGACGTGTTGGTAGATGGGTTTATGGAAGACAAGGGGAGGGAAAAAAAGGTAAACGGTGTGTTAAAGCATATGTTGAAAGAAAGAAGTTTGTATGTGGAGGCAAAAAAAAGGGAATGTACCAACATTTTTATATGGGCAGATGCATGGTTTTTAAGCATTGCAGTTAGGAGGAGGCTGGAGGTAGAAGAGATATCATGTTTGAGAGGTAGGTGTGGTATGAATATTGTGCAGAGAATTAATAGTGCAAAAATTAGATGGTATTAGGTTGCAAAATATATAATGCAGAGGTTGTGAGGTGTTTCGGCCATTAACTTTGGATAGAGCAGACTAGAATGACAGTGAGGGTGTATCAGTCTGGGATGGAAGGAGGAGGCATAGAGGCCCTTCCAGGTATGGTTGGAGGGTGCTTCAAGTGGCTGAGGCTTGAGCTTCCAGCAGGCATAAGTGAGTGTTTTAGTTTGAAGTATGTGAAGATGGTTCTTAATGAACATGGTATTGGAGTGCAGATAGGGTAACTTCTTTCAAGGGATTTAGCTAAACAAGTGAGCTGGCTTTGTCTTGATGGTGGGAAGTACAGTGCAGTGCCTACGCTTTGACGGAAAGGTAAGGATGTTGCTGTTCAGGTCATCTGAAATGTGATGTGAATATACTGGTGAAGGCATTTCATTTTTTGGGTTACCTTACTTTGTGGGAGAGTTGTTTGAATTGTGATGACTTGATACTTCTTGCAAGACAGCCGTTTTAATAAATGATTGATAGTGAATGTGTTTCGGTTTTGGGGTCGCCAAACCTTGGTGGGAGACGGCCAGTATGGTATATACCAACAAAAATGCTGAGTGCAGTAGTGAGTTGACTTGCTTGAAGTTCCATTCTGTGCAGAAGTAGCCCTTTTACTTGTTTTATTGGTATTTAGTATGTATTGAGAATCTGTGTCTTATCAGATTTTCTTGAAACCCACATGCATACATCGGTCTCTTATATTCAATCCAAGACATAAACTATTTGCAAATAATAAAAGACGTATAAGAGTAATGAAGGTTATTTATTAGATTGTGCTTGGTTTTGATGAATGTAATGGGCTCACTTAATAAATAATTTCAGAATATATTTGTAAGATGGTAGACAGTGTTATAATGCTTCTTGGTTGAACTTGAGGCATTTGTTGACTAAATTAGCCACAATGTCATGGCCGAACCCATTCCTAACTAAGCTACAGATTGGAGATAGAACTTGATGATTCATTTCATCTTGGACCACTGTCAGATCTGTCGTGTTTCACTTTCATTTTGTGGGTTGTGAATTGCTGACTGATGTTTCTTTATTGCAGTGTAACTTAACCAGTCATTATAATACGTTTCTTTAAGAATTGGATTAGGTTTTTCTTTATATTGTTCTTTTTTTTGCAAACAAACAAGCAGACTAGCTAATTCTTAGGGAACCTAAAGTTGGCATTACATTTGAAGGTTATGACTTTTTACCTAAGAAGAGGAGTACTGTTATTTTAAGAAATATGTAGCTAGTTACATTTTTTAAAGAAATAGCTAGTTACATGGTTATTGCAGTATTTATAGTGTTCCAAGAGTGAGGATGAGGCACATGACAGTCTTTCCTTTTATTACAGTAAATGGAAGAAAAGGCTCACATAATGGTTTTGCTGTTATTGTCATAAGCCTAATATTCTTTCCACCATTGTGCAAAAATGGAACTGGAGCACAGAAAGAAATAGACATTTCTAGAAGTCTCCTAAGTGAATTAAGAATAGCTAATAAGTTAATTTTTTTTGCAGGCGTTTTCAGGTAATAATGATGGCAATACAGTCGTAACAAACTTATTTGACACGCCCATCATTGCACGCTATATTCGCATCAAGCCAACGAGATGGCGTGATCGCATCTCTCTCAGACTGGAATTGTATGGTTGCAAATATGGTAAGTACTCTGCCTGGGTTAAATTGTTAAAATTATGATTAAGTAGGAGTAGTATAACATGTTTTTTGTTTTGATACTTTGAGTTAAATCAAAATATAATTCCTTTGATATACCTTTGATGAGTTTCAAGAAGTTTTCTACTCCTGAAGCCCAGTCCTGGACCAGGCTTGCCTGGTCTACCAGGCTGTTCCTGCTGCCCACATATCCTTAATGAAGTGCTCATGATGTACAACTATATGAGGGACCATGACCTCAGTGATGTAGTTCTATGTGACAGCTACTGAAAGTATTAAGAAATATTTTTTTGCTTTCTACAGTATCAGAATCGATAAGTTTTGGAGGGAATTCCATGGTTATGATGGATCTTTCACGAGTTCCAGTCACCTCTCTGAGGGACCACATCCGCTTCAGGTTCCGCACAACGTTCCCAGATGCCATGCTGATGTATAGTCGAGGGACACAGGGAGATTTTTTCTCCTTGCAGCTGGTTCAGAACAGATGGTACTTAACATAAACCTTGGCAAGTACACAGAGTATGCAGTACATATTAATTTTATTTTCTTTTTAGTTCATAATATGTACATCTCAGAGGTATAAAAAAAGTTGTGTAAATTTGATAAATAACTCATTATAAATCATTATGAATGAAGCTTATTTAAGAAAAGTCATTTATCAATCTCTTTCAGGATCAAAATTAATGACTTCATTGTCTGTTGGATCATTGCTGGATGACAATGCCTGGCATGATGTGGAGATCAGAAGAGAACAAAGAAATGTGACATTTTTAGTTGATCGTGTCCGCAGAGATGACATAATTCTAGGAGACTTTAGAAGACTGGATCTTAACCAAGAGGTGTGAATTATCATTGCTACTCATTTATTGCAAAAGAAACCTTTAATTCTGTATTGTTTGTGCTTTTATCTTCATTGATTTTCTTAAATTTCATACCTTTGTTGTCTTTTCATTTTGCTTCTGATCTTACTATTAATAGTACTATTATTATTTTTTGAAGTATGAGAGTTTTCACTCTCCTGTTAATTGAATCCCTTCACTAAATATTACCCTCCTCACACTCCAACAGATCGTCAGGTCCCAAATACCATTCGTCTCCATTCACTCCTATCGAACACACTCACGCATACTTGCTGGAAGTCCAAGCCCCTCGCCCACAAAATCACCTTTACCCCCTCCCTCCAACCTTTTTGAGGACGACCCCTACCCCGCCTTCCTTCCCCTACAGATTTATACGCTCTCCATGTCATTCTACATTGATCCATTCTCTCTAAATGACCAAACCACCTCAACAACCCCTCTTCAACCCTCTGACTAATACTTTTATTAACTCCACACCTTCTCCTAATTTCCACACTCCAAATTTTCTACATAATATTTACACCACACATTGCCCTTAGACAGGACATCTCCACTGCCTCCAACCGCCTCCTCATCCTTCATAAATCCATCCGCTGAGTATAAGGAAAATTCCTATTCCTTTTTTTTTTCTTTTTTAGTTTTACGTTGGTGGTGTACCAAATATACAAGTTGGGATGAAGGCTCGTGTCAACTTTACTGGTTGTATGGAGAACTTCTTCATCAATGGTACAGCCATCATTCCAGAGATGAGAAATGCTGATGATTATTATTCTTATTACTACAGCCGTCCCAAGTACACCAGGATTAACACCGTTGCAACGTGTCCGGTAAGAATGATGTTTATTGTATGGTTGTCCTTAAATAGGCATCATTACTCACCTAGAAGGAAGAGGTGATGGAAACAGGAGTTTTAGTTTATATATTTCAAATTTGGAAAGATATTGGTACAATTTACTTAATATTTTATAAAATGTGAATTGTATAGCCAAAACTAAGGACAATTTTTGTGTGTTATTGTTGATGTCTAGAATATTGTGGCCATCAGATTTTATTTTGATCACATGGTGTTTTCGTTTTTCCTCAGTCAATATAGCTTTCGATCTGGAAATTCCTGTACAGTGGACCCTCAGTTATCAGCCGTTTCGGATATTGGCCAAGACTCTTTGCATTCTTCCAGACATTTTGTTATAATCCATTGTTTTTTGTGGTTGTTGATTGAGTGCAACTGCAAAATAAGCCACCATGGTCCCAAAGAAAGTTCCTAGTGCCAGCCCTGACCAAGCTGAAACAAGCCATATCTAACATGTTCAGTGACAAAACCTTGTCCCACTTCTGGCAAATCTTAGAGACGCCAGAAACAGAGCTCTCTGGACAGCTTTTTTGTGCGACAGGGGGTTCAGTGACTCTCAAGCTGGTCCTAGTACCAGTAAAAGACAAAGAAGGGAAGTAACCCGAGAGTGAGCTTGATACCTAAAGTCCTTATGGAGAGGAATTCCCCTTACAAGCAATAATCAGTCATCTCTCTCCTCCCAGTCTTCCATATGCCAACAAGAGTCTTTAATAAAGGTATGTAATGTTTATATTTATTTCTCACGGTTTTCTGAATGCCTTTACATTAATTCTTATTAGAAATACTATTTCGGTTTTCGGATTTAGGCCGACCTTCTGGAATGGATTGTTGCTGATAACTGAGGGTCCACTGTATTTCAAATCTATTAATTTATTATTATGGTCACTTAATTGTTTAAGAAAAATGAATGGGCAGATTGTATTTATCTATATTTAAAGGAGACTTTTTGATTTAGTTACCCAAGAGAGATTAGTTTGGAATTTTCAAAATCTTTTAACCCTTTGACTGTCGCAACCCCCAATCCTGAGGTGTCTCCTGGTGTCGCAAAATTTAAAAAAAAAAATTATTTTTTCCTATGAAATGATAGAGAATCTTTTCCCGATTGTAATGACACCAAAAAAACGAAATTTGATGGAAAACTGACGGAATTATGCTCTCGCGAAGTTAGCAACCTCGGCGCTGTTTACAAATCGGCGATTTCGCCCACTTTGAGCCCTATTTTCGGCTAATTCCGTTGTTCCAGTCGCCCAAACTCATAGCTATTTCTTTAGAACTCCATTTTTTCTATCGATTGAGTACAAGAAATTGCCCATTTACCGATTTCAACTACCTAATAATGTGGTCAGAAATTTGCAATTTGGCCAATTTCACGAAAACTAAAAAATATGACAATTTCAAAATAAGGTCCAGAATGAACAATGCAGACATTCCTGGCTCTAAAATAACATTTTCTTTGTTCATCAGTCATGTCTCCAGGCCCCTCTGATATTACTCTTGCTTTCTATTTTGAATTTTTATTCAAACAAAAAATAGAAGACTTACTATTATGCAGACTACTGCAATACTGTAATAATTGTATAAATAACATCAACCCATTCATGACTGCATATTAGAATGGCTAGCTGGACATTTATTGGACAATGGCATCATTTGTTTACTTTTGAACATTGGAAAAAATCAAATATTTCCCCTACTTTGAGCTCCATTTCTAGGTTCTTTTTATAGTAAAATCAATCAAAATCACCTCTATTTCTATAATATGTTTTCTATTCTATCAAATGAGACCAAGAAAACGTGAATACAATCATAAATACTATACGAAAATAGACCACAAAGTCGGCATTTTAATTAAAAAAAAAACGGTCGGAGTTTTTTTTTTTTCATTATGCACTGCGTGCTCCAGGATTTTTTTTATATGGTGCACACTGACCACACAGACCCATTCTCTCACATGTGGGCCTACCAGCTTTCTCCTGCTTGATTTGAAGCCGCTAGAATTTATGAATATATATACGTCAAACACGGTACCTCGTAAGACGTATATATACGGCCGCGACAGTCAAAGGGTTAAGCCTGGGGTTGTAAAAGAAGTAAAAGCTAGGGTGTTCGGGAGAGGAGTGCGATTAAATTACGGGGAATCAAATACAAAATCTAAAGAAAAATTTGAAGGTTAGTGGATGAGTTTGAGTGTGTGTGTAAAGGTAGAAAGTTGAAAGTGAACATAGAAAGAGTAAGGTGATGAGGATATCAAATGATTTAGGTAAAGAAAAATTGGATATCAAATTGGGGAGGAGGAGTATGGAAGAAAATGTTTTCAGATACTTGGGAGTTGTCGTGTCAGCGGATGGATTTATGAAGGATAAGGTTAATAATAGAATTGATGAAGGAAAAAAGGTGAGTGGTGCGTTGAGGTATATGTGGAGACAAAAAACGTTATCTATGGAGGCAAAGAAGGGAATGTATGAAAGTATAGTAGTACCAACACTCTTACATGGGTGTGAAGCTTGGGTTGTAAATGCTGCAGCGAGGAGACGGTTGGAGGCAGTGGAGATGTCCTGTCTAAGGGCAGTGTGTGGTGTAAATATTATGTAGAAAATTCGAAGTGTGGAAATTAGGAGAGGGTGTGGAGTTAATGAAAGTATTAGTCAAAGGGCTGAAGAGGGGGTTGTTGAGGTGGTTTGGTCATTCAGAGGGAATGGATCAAAGTAGAATGACATGGAGAGCGTATAAATCTGTAGGGGAAGGAAGGCGGGGTAGGGGTCGTCCTCAAAAAGGTTGGAGGGAGGTGTTAAAGTAAGTTTTGTGGGCGAGGGGCTTGGACTTCCAGCAAGTGTGCGTGAGCATGTTAGATAGGAATGAATGGAGACGAATGGTATTTGGGACCTGACGAGCTGTTGGAGTGTGAGCAGGGTAATATTTAGTGAAGGGATTCAGGGAAACCGGTTATTTTTATATAGCCAGACTTGAGTACTGGAAATGGGAAGTACAATACCTGCACTTTAAAGGAGGGGTTTAGGATATTTACAGTCTGGAGGGATATATTGTGTATCTTTATACGTATTTGCTTCTAAACTGTTGTATTCTGAGCACCTCTACAAAAACAGAGATTATGTTTGAGTGAGGTGAAAATGTTGAATATTGATGAAAGTATTTTCTTTTTGGGGATTTTCTTTATTTTTGGGTCACCCTGCCTCAGTGGGAGAGGGCCGACGTGTTAGATCACGAGTGGAGATAAGTAGTTTTTAATATACGTGCTGTTTGAGTGTGAGCAGGGTAACATTAGTGAAAGGCTTCAGGGAAAATGAGTTACTTTCAATTAAGTCCTAGAGGTGGAAGAGTAGTGCCTGTACCCTGATGGACAGGTAGGGATGTTGCAGCTCAGAGGAACACCTGAGATGTGATATCAGCGCACATATGCACGCACTTCCTTCCTCCATCTCTCCCTCACTCATTAACTTGTTGAAGTTCAGTGACGAAGTAACAGATGTGCTATGAGAGAGAGAGGGTTGGATGGAATGCATTACAGTAGTTCCCCCATATCTACAGGTGATACGTTCCGAAACCTATTGTAGATACCTGAAAACCCCCCCAAATTCGTGGGGGTTATGTTCCAAGACCACCCATGAATTGGGAAAAACCGCAAATATTGGATGCGGTTAAAAAAATGCCTGTAAATGTCTATTTTTATAGTTTAAACCCTAAATATGCACCCAAAACACTTAAATTTAATTTCAAACTCAGCTTCATACATTTTTTTTTTTTTTAACAAGTCGGCCGTCTCCCACCGGGGCAAGGTGACCCAAAAAGAAAATACTTTCATCATCATCATTCAACACTTTCATCTCACTCGCACATAATCACTGTTTTTGCAGAGGTGCTCAGAACACAACAGTTGAGAATCATATATGTATAAAGATACACAACATATCCCTCCAAACTGCTAATATCCCGAACCCCTCCTTTAGAGTGCAGGCATTGTACTTCCCATTTCCAGGACACAAGTCCGGCTATACAAAAATACAGTGGACCCTCAACCAGCGATATTAATCCGTTACTGAGAGCTCATCGTTAGTCAAAATAATCGTTAGTCAAGTTAATTTTCCCCATAAGAAATAATGGAAATCAAATTAATCCGTGCAAGACACCCAAAAGTATTGAAAAAAATTTTTTTACCACATGAAATATTAATTTTAATACACAAACTGAAGATTACATGCACAGTTACATGACACTTAACTTTATTGAAGATCTGGTGATGATTGATGGGATGGGAGGAGGGGAGAGCGTTATCTTCTTACTGTTTAGAAGGGGAATCCCCTTCCATTAGCACTTGAGGCAGCAAGTCTTTTTCTGGGGTTACTTCCCTTGTTCCTTTAATGCCACTAGGACCAGCTTGAGAGTCACTGGACTTCTGTCGCACAACATATCTGTCCATAGATACCTGTACCTCTCGTTCCTTTATGACTTTCCTAAAGTGGTTCACAACATTGTCACTGTACAGGTTGCCAACACGGCTTGCAGTAGCTGTGTCAGGGTGATTATCATCCATAAAGCTTTGCACGTTAAGCCACATTGCACAGATTTCCTTAATCTTTGAAGTAGGCAACTTCTTCAGTTTCTCTCTCCCCTCCTCCGAAGCAGTTTCCTCAGGTCTGCCCTCTTGCTGTTCAAGATGATCTAGCAGCTCATCAGTGGTTAGTTCTTCACTGTCCTCCACCACCAACTCTTCCACATCCTCCCCACTAACCTCCAACCCCAAGGACTTCCCCAATGCCACAATGGATTCCTCAACTGGCATAGGATTCTCAGGGTTAGCCTCAAACCCTTCAAAATCCCTTTTGTCTACACATTCTGGCCACAGTTTTTTCCAAGCAGAGTTCAATGTCCTCTTAGTCACTTCCTCCCAAGCCTTACCTATAATGTTTACACAATTGATGATGGTAAAATGATCTTTTATTTATTTATTTATTTATTTAT